CTCCCTGCTGTACAGGAGCGGCAAGGAGTTGATTCTACTGTACGAGAAGAAGGCTGGAGACGATTCGTACGGTCTTGCCTACGTGCGCCTGACCACGCAGCTGGATCGGATAAAGGAGGTGGTGAGGAGTTGGAAAGATACGGACGCCGCCTTGCAAAGCTGCAAAGCCAGCGGAAAGCTCGACCCGCGAAAGAGGGGCATGTGCAGCGGCCCTCTTCCCACGGAGGGGCTGGTGGGGTTTTTGTCCGGGAAGTCAACTGGCGGCAAGTGGGTGGACGAGTACCTCGGCGTGAATGCAACAGTAATGAATGGGGCAGCGGCAGGCGAGAAGTGGGGCGTGACGTTCAGCGGCGCCGGGGCCGGGGCGGAGTGGCCCGTGGGGAAACTGGGGCAGAACCAGCCGTACTACTTTGCGAACAACGAATTCACTCTCGTGGCGACGGTGACGATCCACGCGGTGCCGGAGGAGGACGACGCTCCTCTGCTGGGGGTGAGGATGAATGACTCAGAGAGCAGTGTGCTCTTCGGCCTCTCGTACACGAAGGACAAGAAGTGGAGGCCCACACTTCATAACACTGCTGCCGAGGAGCCTTGTGGTGAGACGTGGGATCGAGACACAACGTACCAGGTGGCCGTGAAAATGAATACTGACGACGATTGGAATGTGTACGTTGACGGGAGGGAGATTTACGAGGGGGAATACGCTGGCGCCCTGTTCGACTCGCACCGGATCTCGCACTTCTACTTTGGCGGCGACGGGGCGGAGGGCGCAGAGGCGGGCCCCCACGTGACTGTGGCCAACGTCCTGCTGTACAACGAAGCACTCACTAGTGACGAGATCCGAAAGCTCGCACGGAGCAAAGTGGCTCTTGGAGGAACAGCTGCCGGGAAAGAAAGCCGCGAGCTGCAGGCGGTTCCTCCGGCGTCCACCTCTGAGGGTGGGGAGTCTGTTGCCGAGGTGGAGCCTGAAGTTGGCCGCGGTGAGCAGCAAACGGAGGACGGCGAGCGCACGGAGGGTCAGCAGGAGCAAAAGGACGCTGCTGCTGTTGAGGCGCCGGCGCGTGAGGAACGTTTGCCGGCGGTGTTGGGGAGTGGCGGTGCAAGTGTCTCTCCTCAGCAGCCGGCAAATGCAGCGCCTCCTGTCGTCGGGGCACCGACAGTTGGGGGCGAACAGTCGCACGAAGCGGAAGCGGGATCTGCTGGGGACCCGGCACCGCGGAAGGACGACGCAGGAGCGCCGGACCCGAGAGCTGCGCAGCAGAGCAGCGACGTGGAGGCCGCCCCTGCGCCACCCGCCGTGGACTCCCCCCTCAGCCCGTCGGTGGAACACCACCAAGAAGAAAAAGAAGTTCAGCCACCACCAGCAGAAGAAGGAGCGGCTACTCAGTTATCGCAGGGAGCAGACAAAGAGACAGGCGACGTGGCAGCACCTTCTAACGGCACACCCAACTCCGACGCAGAGGAAGCAGAAGAGGCGGCGGACAAAAAAGAAAAGAAGGATGAGGAGGAAGGAGCGACAGAAGGCGGTGGCGGTGCATTGGCGCCCCCACCGTTGAAAGCTCCAGCTGCGGCCAGTGCTCCTCGCCCAGGCGCAGCTGAGCAGGCCGTCGGTGCGGAAACTTCTGAGCGGCAACGAGGGTCCTCGCCTCCCGCGGACGGTGCAGTCACGGCGGCGCCGGTGGGTGACGCGACTCCGCGGAGTGGGCCCATGGATGACGGTCAGGCGCAGCAGACCCCTCCGTCGCACGCGCCAGAGGCCGTTGGCGGCGTGCCGTCTGCTTCCGCCGCGCCCACCGGCGAGACGCCAAACGCTGCCGCCGAAGGAAGTGGCGCAGACCCCCAAACTGCGGCGGACGTGGACGGCGGCCACGAGGCACCCAGCAACGCCGCCACGGCACCCGCGGCTCAGGCGCCTGGGCAGCCAGGCACCCCGCCAACACGCGACGCTGCATCGTACCTAAGCAACAACTCTATCACCTTCAAGAACACCACAGGGCCGTTCCCGATGAACACAGGCAGCGACGGCGCTGTGCGTGGGTGCGTGTCACGGCTGTTGCTGCTTGCCCTGCCGGGGCTGTGGGGCGCGACGGCTCTCTGCTGAGTGCAAGAGGGGGAGTG